GGCGCCGCGGGCGGCCCCGGCCCGGCCCGGCCCGGCCCGGCCCGGCCCGCAGCTGCTAAAGCGCCAGGCGAGGCCGTCGCTGCTGCTGCTGGAGGGGCAGCGCCGCAGCCGCCTCTTTGCGGCAGGGCCTGCGGGTGCAGGGCAGGCCGAGTTGCTCCGGCAAAGCGCAGCTCTGCAGCACAGCGAGGGGGACCTCGCGCTCGCGCCCAACGGGCTGAACGCCGCGGGGCCGCGACGGCAGCAGCGGTGCGCCCCGGCCCGCAACGGGTGGAGGCGTTTCGGGCTGCAAGCGGCACGGGGCAGCACGTGCTGCTCCTCCCCAGCCACTCCCGCAGCACCTGCAGCTCTTCACATGCCCCGTGCCCTTCTCCAAGCGACGTTCCTCCGTGCTGCTAATGAGTATTTCTAACTTTTTAATTAGAGCTTTTCTCTCCCCCAGTTTTAGAGGGCAAGCTCTGAAAGAAGCTCCCAGTGGGGAAGGCAACGTAGCCTGGCCGGAACCGTCTGCTTTGCTGCAAGGCGGCCGTAACCTCCCCGCAGTGCTCACTGGAAACCAAAGAACGGCCGAGTGGCAACTATCGCATCTCCTGACGATGGTTTTTTTTTGGAAATAACGCGGCTCTACCTAACACTTGGGTAATGCACACAGCAAATGTCTTAGCTACTTTTCAGGCCGAGTTTCAGGTTACTTACTCGGGAGACACTGCGCACAGAGGGGTGCTCTGGGCCAGGCTGGCTCTGCCCACCGCACTGCTGTTACCAGGAGGAGGGCTATTAAACACTTTTCAAGGACCTATGGCAAAGAGACAGGGACATGAATACACACGGGCATTTAGGTGTGACAGGATTGCTTAAGCAGCTTTAAAACCTATTGCATCTTTTTTTGGCTGTGCATTAAGTACTAGTTTATGCATATTGGAGGAGTAATTATGGAATGGGATGGTTTTCTTTTAATGTGAGTTATTCACCCCTCAGCGCAATGAATTGTGTTATTAGCTATAATCAACAATCGTAATTTCATATTCAGAAAATGAAGCCTTAGCAAGCAGAAGAAAAAACACACTTGTGACTTTTAAACATAAGAGGGATTTAAAGATGTTTTCAATTGTTTCTTCTCTTTAAACTCTTTTAATTAAAAGTGTATAGATCCAAGCAGAAAATACTCTACAGCAAATCACAGAGAACCACCACTCATTCCGATCCTTGGAACTTGAAACTATTCTTAGAGAAGTACTATATCTTTTTGAACTATTTAACACTGCCATGGCAAACTGGAAACAAACAGCTCGCCCAGATTTCCCATTTATACGCGTCCATACAAAGTCCTGTCCCTAACTCAGCGAAACAGCCACAACAGTAAACGCAATTCAGCAAGATGACACTATTGTCCCTTTGATTGTTCCTCTACCCCCAAACTTTTAAGGCAAGAGCTTCTGCGTGACATCCGAAGCATGAATCCAATGACAAAACAGACAACCAAGGAGGATCAAGGTGCTCTTTTCCAAAACTGCTTCCCTGCCTTTTTATTTTGAAGGTTCTTCCAATTTTCCGATACAGTCAACACTACTGGGTCATGACAGCAACTGCTGATTGTGGTGACTGTAAGATCATGTAGTAGTTTACATGGAAAACACCTTAATCATTTTCTAAACTCCCAATCATTTAATATTAAAATTTGCTCCTAGTTGTAGTGAAAGAAAATTCTTTAAAACATGACTACAATCATGTCAACGATTAGTACTGTAGAAGCCTCTCCCCTTCTCAATTTATCATGTGAGGACACAGTTACCAAGTTAGTTATCTCATAAATAAGACTGTATTAGATAGAAAGAGGGAACAACAAAGAGGCATCTTACAGTCTTGCGCTCATTGTGACCGACCACACGGATGATTTCTCCTGTAGGAATAAGCTCAATCTGCAATTCCATCTTTACAAGGCTTAGCCTGGCAAATCTCTCCGCTTTATACAGACAATTTCAAGGGCAGCAGAATTCAGAGCGGCCGGGAGAGCCTCTCGCTAGGTGCAATCCCTGTCATGAGAGGAAGAGCTGAACCCCTGTATTTATACTAAGTGCAAGTGTGAGCTGGAAGAACAATCAAGTTCAAGAACCAGTTTCCACCAGCTACAATGTGTCAAGACGGTTCCAAGAAACCTAAATTTATGTTTGTGTTTATTGCTGTAAAATTCTGTTGATGTTCCATTTTAGACTCAGGAAAGTCGAGCTGCTGCGGATGCCGTTTCATAGGTATTAGCACGGAAGACTCTCATGGCAAACTACAAATCTACCCCGAGGTTTCATGTAGGAAAAGTGCCTCATCTTGCACTCCCATGTATTTGGTTTAAAGAGGAAGAATAATAAAAAAAAATTGCCTTTTGCTCACATGGTAACTACAGGAAGTCCTTCAAAGTCCTGTAGAGATAAAAACTTGAGTAGCTAACCAGGGGAAAAAAATAAACTGCCTTGCACTGTACAAGATTTCCTACGATGGACACGAGAGAAAAAAAACTAGCAAATTCTGGCTTAAGGGCAACTGAAGAGCTTTACTATAGCGAAGTCACCCATTAAAGCGGATCCTTTGTGTGTTCAGCTATTTACTATGGCTGAACAGAGCAGCCACACAAGGAGTAACTTACTCTGTAGGACTGTTTATGACAAAACTCTAATGTCTGACCTTGGCTGTGAGGAAAGAGTTAAAGAATATGAAGATAAAATAGCCAACTGGCCTCAAAAACTTCCATCTTTCCACAGAATATTTTTCCATTCTAAGTCTGGTATTAGGGGGAAAAATAGTAGATAAAAAAGTTGTTAATATTGTTGGCATTTATATAGCAACGAGTACAAAGAACCCTTGGAGATCACATTTGGATACTGAATTTCCTGTATCTGAGGATGGACGAGGATGGAAAGGATCATCGGATATATTCCTGGTAGTAATGCAGACTTCTCCCCCCCCCCCCAAAAAAAAAAAAAAAAAAAAAAAAGATATCATTTCCTTCCTCAAGGAAAACCTAATTCAAGCTTTGTTGGACTGGCCTTTCCACTGCAATATATTAAGGCAAGTTCATCTGAGTGTCACTTAGTGTCCAAGAACAGAGAAGGAAGCAGTGGTAGTAGAAACAATAGTCTTTATCAAAGTGTATTTTTAGGGTCTAGCAAACACGCAAGACATCTTGGAAATATTTCCTGTTTACACGGAGCTGTACTATCTGTGTGCAGAGATACATTACATGTCCTGCGGTTAGCTGCAAATCAGAAATATCCTATATGGAAGTTAAAGACGGTTGTATTGGCTAACATGCCTTGGTAGATGTCTTTCCTATTTTAAAATAAATCATGAGCAACAGCGAGGAATTATGAGGAGTTACATTCTGATGGAAGTGAATTGATATAACGTTTATATAAAACAAAAATATTTTTGATATGTAGTGTAATAGATCTATCAAAAAGACAAGAAAACTTCAGGGCATGCAACTCATGAAAAAGAGTCTTTGGAAGAACCTGCTTTTAGAAATAAAATGAAAAAAGGTAATTTGGATGGTTTAAATGTTTTTACAAAGGAAAATACCAAAATCTCCTCAACCAAACGAATATCTCAGTAAATGAGAAGGAAATTAGCAGTGCAATAGAGAAGAAAGAATACTTTAGAGAAAGCAAATATTAGCATCTCCTTCTTGCATGGAACAAAGCTCAATCCACTGCAATAAAGTGCTTGTTCAGTTTAAAAATATAAGTTTCCTGCAGGGGGGAAAAAAAAAAAAAAAAGCACTCCAGAATTCAATATTATTGCGGTATCTTTTGCAAGGGAGGGTGAAGGCAAGAGGAGCTATTTATTCCCTACAATCAAAACACACTGATATTTCAGTGTATTGAGACATCTTTTCTCAAGGAAAAAAAAAAAATCAAAACAGAAGTTTGTATCACTCAGGTTCATTAAATGCTAAAACTCATTTAAATGAAAGACTTCTATTTGTTTAAAAGAAAATCTATTTTGTATTTGGCCTGTGCTTTTCAATCCAAGACATATTACTACTGATTTGTATTTTAGAATGCAAATGTATCTGCATTTTAAAAATACGAAAATTAAATGGAGAATTGCTACTATGTGTGGGATGAATCCCCCCTCTTATCCCCAGTTCATCTTTCTCAGATTAACAGAAGCATGTCGAACAATTCACGGTCAGGATTTATTTCGGTGGTACAGGAAAAGAAAAAGCATGGGAATAAAAACATTTCCAGTGATTATAACACATAATTAAAGGTGTTTTAAGAAAGAGAAATTTCATCAGAAATTATATTTTACAGGTCATGGAATACTTTGAAAAGCTACCATAGGTAACAGTCGTAAACAATATTTAAGGGTGCTACTGTGTGCACAGGATGAAAGAAGGGAGCGACAGTTTTGTGCGGTGTCTTTCTTACGCACAGGCAGATTTAATCACAGCTGCTGTGGGCATTTGCAGTGCAGTCCTGTGGTGCAAAGGATTAGTTTACAAAATGCAGCTTCTATCTCCAGGGCCTGAGAAGGTTCTCGGTTCCCATGCAACATTAAGGAGCTTAGGTTTCTTGCCCATGTAAAGTGCCCCTGCGTGGCTGTGTGGCTCCCCCTCTGAGCCGTTCCTGAATGGCAGATGCACCCTGATTAGAAGAAACTGGATCTTGGTCCATAGTTATGTCACCAGCTGCAGTCTGGAATTCAGAGACCACAATTCTTTCAGCTTTGAGCCCTCCGCTGGAATCTCCTTGCATGGAACACGTAATACAATCACACAAGTAATAGTAGAAGCGGAGCAAGAACTCAAAAACTGCAGATTATTTGAAGTTTAGGAGGGATTTATCTCAAGATGTAATTGCCGTGGAAAGTAAAGTATTTGAAAGCTTTAGTACAAAAGAAAGTCTTGCAAGATTGGTACAAATATGAAAAGGGTTTTCAATATTGCTCCAAAGTGTAATAAGACTACTAGGTGTCAGCATCAAGCTAGATTGAATCAGTGCACTGAACTAAACCTGCCATCACTGTGGACAATCAGAAACCATTCTCAACACCAAACATTAGGCTAAGATAAAGCTAAACTTTACAGGCTAAGTGCTCTTAAACTTCAAACTGCAACAAAAGTAAACAATCTGTAGAGAGTGCAAACCCTAACAGAGTTAAAGACTCTTAAACCCCAGAAATTTATCTAAAACAGGTATCACAGAGTGCTCATTTCTCTTTCTTGTCAAAAAATCCTAAGAACAACCAACACTTTGAGAACCTGAGCAAAAAGGAATCCATTCAGTCCCCAGGCAACACTCCAAAACACACATCAATGTTCTCTGCTTCTCTCTTTCATTTGAGCTGAATTTTCTATTTTCCTTTCAAACCAACAGTGCAGTGATTAGTTCCTAAACCTACTTATCACGCATGTTAGGCTGTTGAAAGCTGTATCTAGAACATGGGAGACTAACCAGTGCTCTTGCTCAGCACTGCAGCCTCAGATCCCAAGGAACATTCAGAGCTACCGAGTTACTTCCAATCCTTCTCAGGTATCTCTACTTCCTCATCAAACAAACCCACTTCTAAAGCTAATGACTTTTTTTTTTTTTTTTAAGTTATTTGATCTTTATCATTCTATCTCCACTCCCAAATGTAGAAGATACATTTAAGTAGAAGCACCTCTGAAAAAAAAAGAAATTTTGCGGACTGATTACTATAAACTGAAGAGACTTATAGTTTTTGGTAGCATGGATTATGCCATAAGAAAGAGCTTGTTCCATTTAAATTCTCTATTTATAAATCATGTGGTCTCTGTAGTAAGTGTAGCAATTATTTATGTGGCAAAATGCCATCACAGAAATACTTAAATATGGCTTTAAGTTTCTAAATACAACATGACAGGGGAAAACAAGGATATTGCCATAATCGCCCAGTTCTTCCTCAAATGCTTTTTGAACTTCTCTGCTAACCTATACTAAATCATTTCTTTACATGAGACATATCTCTCTGAAAGGTGTGATCTTAGTTTAACTCCAAATCATTAACTAGTATGTGTTTATCTTTCAATCAAAGAGAGAAAGGGAACAGACAAATTGTTATATAAATTACTTTATAAAAGAAGAATCAAAAAAATCAGAAAAAGCGTATTTTGATTGATATATCACTATATATCAATTGCTGAACTGATATATCAATTCTGGAAGAATTACAGATGGAAAATCCTGCAAGAATTGTAAGTGAGAAGTAAGGCAGAAGAAAAAGGACTCTATTACCAAAGGAGAACTTACATGCTCTAAAAATTTTGTTTTCATGGGACCTGTTGTCACATGTGTTTCTCAAAAGGTTACAAATTAGCTTACATTTAAAAGTCAAATAAAAGATTAAAATAAGCTAGATAACTGTATCTAATAAATACTTTTAAAAATAACTTCAGTTAAACTCAAACATCAGCAATTAAGTGATTACAACTCTGAAGCATATCACTAATAAAATATTCTCTGGAAAAAAAAAAAAAAGGAGCAGGTCCAAAATCTGTTATGGAATGCAACTTACTTGTAAGCTGAGTCACTGAATTACAAACGTCTGCTTGTTAGGTGCTATTTTTACAGTTCCCATCCAGTGGAACATCAGAGTTACTCTCATTGTAACAATAAAAACACCTGTTTCCACAATACATTATCTTCTATGAGCTTATAAAGTTTCTAAACAGCCCTACCTGTAGGACCCTTGCACTACCTGACTTCATCTTCTAAGAAGAAACGCCTATAATTACTAAGAGAAAGAAGGCAGTCATCTCTGACTCCTGAATGAGGACTAGAAAAAGCCTTTTCTGACTTCAGAATTCGTTATGTGATTCCAGATTGTCAGGTTTTCGCATCCAACTGAACTCTTCCTGTGCCAGATCCTTTCCTATTAATGTTCTGTTTGGCTGAATCTAGAAGAAATTAAGTTGAAAAAGCATTAAACGCAGCACAAACATTCAGAAACACTGCATTTGCTCTATACTGTCAGTATACCATTAGATAAAGATGTCCTACATACTCCCTGATACGATCGCTATCTCTACTCAACAAGTATGATGCTTAAAAAAAAATGATAATAGCAAAACATTAAATTCTGATATCAAAACATTAACTGTCATGGAAAAAAGAAAGGCATTCCTAATAACCAACATGATTTCTCATATTCCTATAGTGCTTTGTATCCACATACCACTGACAAGTGTGTTCCAGCGTTTGTGGGACATCTTATGCTTGGAGACAGCTGAAACACTGGACTCTGCAACTTTTTTTCTCTAATGCATTAAGTATGAATAGTATCACTGAGTTTTACCAGCCTAGTAATCTTCAGTACTTAAGTAGACTTTGAGAGTCTCTTAAAACCCCTTTACCCAAGAATAGCAAGAAAGTTATATTTAAATTAATCTAGCACACATTAGCACAATCATCTCAGCATGAAAATTATGCACACACACACAAAAAAAGATTTTGGCAAAAAAGTGCTTGGGTAAAAGCAGCAACGACTGGTCACTTCAGCTAGTTTATCCAGATTAAGTTATCCTTTAAAACAAACAAGCAAACACCCAAAAAAGCCAATTTGAGCGTCAGCTCTTCCTTCTTTCTCAAATGTAAGCATCTAAACATACAGAAAGCACTTCTGTGTGACTACCATAGGAGGGAGCACTAAGGGTTCATGTATGATATATAAAGGTAGTAACGTAGTTAAAAAAGCTGCCAACTTTTTGACAGAAATTGACAGAGATTGAAGTTCCAAAAATGAAACCTGAGAGAAATTAACCTGCTTTATTTCATTACAAGAAAGTGTTGCTGTAACAGCTACTTTTAGCATATCAGCATTTTTTAACTGGGTGTTAGTCAGCACATATAATTCTTGTTTTTACTGCTGTAATCTCCCCCAGTATTAACAAAATTGCACACACCTATGTTCAGATGCATATGAAAGCAAAAGAAATAAAAATACCATTAATCAAAGCTTCCAAAAATACTGAAAATACCTGAAAAGGCTGGCTGACACCAACTATTGACTGCATATTATTGCTGTAATAACAAAGCACAAATTCTCCTCCCATATTAGGTATTTCTTCAGCATTCATGTAAACCTGTAAACAAGAAAAAAATATAGGCAAGGGATTACTTCCACAGAGAAAGCAATTCACAAAAAAAATTCATTCATAGCACCATAAATACAGAATTTACAAGTAAGCCATTTTTAAACATAATTTTGAAAAGAAGAAGACAAATTTAATGCTATTACTTCATTCACATCTCAGGGAAATACCCATGCCTAGGAATGTCCTTAAAAACTTCACGATAAGGCTACATACTCTGGCCGAGTCAACCAACCAGGTTGCTACTTTAGAAAGAGGGTGAGATATTTCTTTGTAATCCCCTTCCACGCATGCTGGAGATCAGATGACTCCACAGAAAACTACCCGGGCAGAATTATTCTAGAATACCGGCCACGTTTTGTCTGCCTGTGCACACACGTATGCTATTTTTTTCCTGTTTAATTGAGAAGTTGAACCAAGGGACAGACAGACCTATAGAGAGAGGAGGGGAACTGATACAACCCATTAGACTATCTGAAAACTAAGCCAGGGTGGAAGAGTGAGTACTGTTCACCATGTTAGTAAACTAAATTTATTCAGCAAGAAGTCAGAAAAAGAGTCACAGTTGTTCCAGGGAAACAGCAAGATCGATCAAGGAAGACAGAGGGAGCTGAACTGCCTCCTGCTGGCAACAAACTGTTAGCTAAGAGCTGAGCAAAACTAACCTCTGTTTTGTACTACCCTAAAATCTTGCAGTTCTTAGAAATCCCTGCCAAAACAGTTTAGGTTTTTTAATTGCTTTAGTTAATCACTACTAGAAAGGAACAAATGATCAATTCATCAATACATTCAGACCTGAGAAAATACACTGTGTTACCCAAAAATAAAGGAAAAATAGCAAGGGGAAAAAGGGGGGATGCAGAACCAAAGTACAAAGTAAAAATGGAACAAATGGATCCCTGAATGCTACTATTTCAGAAGTTATAATTGGCTTACTTGTTTGCTGTCATTGTTAGAAGAAATCTCATCATCTTTTACCCAAGCGTAAGTGACATAGTCATTTACATGCTTGAACGTCACCTGCAAAGGAAGTTGCAAACTGTCAACTCCCTGAAGGACCAACACATCTCACATAGAAAACTCAAAAGCCATGAGAGACATGCTATTTCACCGAAGGTCTAATTAAAACATAGTATTTTAAAAATCAAAACATTTTGGGGGCACGTATGAACCTTTGGTATTCGAGAACATGTAAATGCTCTGTTTTTTAATCCTTCTGCTGACCTCCTCCTATTTTTGCTCTCTTTTTGAGAGCTCTTTGAACTGCAGGCATTTGGAAAGGACTATTCTTTTCCATAGCTTCTACATACCATTTTGTTTAAATCACCAGCTGCACTTAGCAGAACATCTTACACAGAATGAAAAGTCCTGCATCTGCCTCTGCATGGAGTTAAACTCTCAGCATACAAAAGTACCAGCTACCAAGGATACAGGAGGTTTGTAAAAAATCACAATAAATCACTTCTTCCTGTCACATTCACCATCTTCATTCCAGTAAAGAGCTATGATGTACTGGTAACATCACCTTGAAAAGTCCAATCCAGTCCCAAGTACTGCTTGGGAACTCAGGCACTGCAGAATAACTGATTACAACATCATGTTCAGCACTCCATTCACCCTCAGGTTTCAATATGACAGAAGGAATTGACAAAAGAGGCTTCACCTAGAATAAAAATCAAGATTTACAGTAAACCAGCTCTTATTCTTTCAGTTATTCTTACAAATACTTACAAAGTTTAGAAAAATGGCTCAATAAAACACACTAGCTTTAAAGAGTTAAGGCGAGACAGCACCTCAAGCCCAAAAGTTCCTGTAACAGGTTTGTGATCACTGATGCCATAACTCATGTGACTGATATAGTTATTCAAAGTAACAGATATTGTCTGTTCTTCTTCAGGTAATTCAGTTTCTTTTGATGTATGCTGGCAGAGATTCTTCACTCTCCAAAGAACTCTATCTGTCCAAGCTGGCTTTCTTTTCTTCTCACTGTAAGAGTGCAAGATAAAAGTGAAGTAAGTAGAAAAAAAAAGCTGCCGAAGAGCTAAGAATACTGTGTAAAAACTACTCAAAGTTAAGATTCTCAAGTACATGTATTAATGTAAGAAAGCAATCACATCCAAACTTCATTTTACAGCTCTTTACCATGCTTTACAACCAAGGTTTCCTTAATTTGAACTCAGCTCCATTTATAGGAGGTAAGTTTCACAGATTTCTGAAAGAGAGGAGTAAAATGAAGAGAAGAAGGGGCATTCCCATGGGTTAGTCAAGTTTTCTACAGGAAATGATACTTTCTCCTAAAACGTACTATAAAAACATGCAAGAACAATGAGATAATACATGATCTGACTCAGACTTTGAACACAGTCGTTCTCAGAAAAGGGACATAACTTTTAAGAAGGATGCAGAAAGAATCTGAATGACATTTACTTCCTTATTCAAAACTTTTTTTTTTAGAACAAATTGCTTTTAATAACTAAAATTGGTCAAACTTACGTAGATTATACTAATTGGAGATGACACAGCAATGTTTTATCTAAAAGTCCTCAAATCTTTACCAGAGAAGCTACTGTTGCCTCATAAGAAAAGGCTGTGAATCTCACAATGAAGAAAAAGTCTGTAGCCTGCAACTGTGCTATACATCAAACTGCAATCATAATTCAGAGTTTCCTTTTATACCATATCAATAACAACAGAAGACATGAGCCTTTCGTGGTTCTCTCTGTAGTGGGAAGAAGACTTAACAGCAACCCTCTGTATGGATGTATCACTTCAAATTGAAATGGAGAAAAGATCATACCCTATGGAAGAGGAATTAGAATGGACTGGATTGAATTATAAAGGTTAATGAGCAGGATGTGTAAGGAAAACTGTCAGTTTAGTAACTTTGAATGTCAAAATCATCGTAATCTGGAAATGTCATTTAGTTTAATGCTCAACATGCTTTTTCTTTTACCCCTTCCCATATATAGTTCTGACTCACCTATAATAAGGTGGAAAGATTTTAAATGACTGAGGGGCCATATCCCACTTACTTCAGTAATTATATAAACCGACAGATATCTTTATGAGCTGCCATATGTCTGCTCTGCTGTGCAAGAAAATATCAAAAGAACAGCTTAAGTTAATACACTTGCTACTTCAGAGAAAATGGTGCATAAGATGGGAAAGAAGAACCTCAGAGCCAAACCGGAAGAAAAAAAAAGGCATCAGAGATAACAAATTACCGTGTGCTTCATTTAAAGCAAACTTGGCAAGGATGCTTAGAAGACCCCAAGTGACTTGAAGTCACCCTCCAAACAACCCAAATCACCTCTGCTAGCTTTAAAAGCAGGATGCATATAGCATTCATAACTCTAAACTGGATTTATGCTGCTCCCTTTATATTTGTTCATACTTAGACTGCAAGTCTTCGGATACGAATGAGTGAATTTACCTAATCGTGCAACAGCAGAGGAGATCACACTGCAGCTTTCAGATAGGTTCAAAAAAATCCCTGAAGAAAATCAGCTATTATCTGATTTTCAAATATTTCACAAAAATCAAATCCAAAGCTCAGGAGGTGCATTGTTTTGATTCAGAAATATTTACAAATCTAGGAAATCCAGAAAATTTTCTTCTTACTTAAACCAAAACAGGGACTTCTGTTCTCTGGAAATAAAGAAAAACATCAGTACAAAACCCCTGTTTGGCCAGGAGCTTATTCTTCCATTGAAGCACGATTAATATTTAACAATAAACTTTACAGTCAGAGCAAAACATAACTCAGATATTAGGAAGAAAAAAAAATGAACGTTTCAACAAGTGCTATCTTATTCTGTGAAATTATTCCTTCCAAATAAAAATAAATAAATAAAGAGTAGCTGTGGTGATTCAGCCACTGCTACTTCCCTCACACAATCAGCGGAAACATTCATTTACTCAGATTTGAGCATGGAATAAGAGTTCAGCAGCCTCAGTTAACTCGTAAATTAAGGAAAGCTTAGGTTTGCTGTGCAAAGTGATATTTACTCGAGCACCAGGTTCACTCTAATATTTCATGTCTTAAACACATCTTGACTGCGCTTTTACCTTGTATCATATACATCTGAATAAAGGTCAAACTTGTAGGTAGGTTTAAACTGCAGAGGACCCTCTATGAAATCCTGAAGAAATGCTTCCTTCTTCTTCGCCATATTTAACTGCAGAAATGATGTTTATATAAAGAATAGCTTTTAAAAGCAGTATTTAAAAAACAAAGCTTGAAGAATATTCAGAAAAGGAGCTGAGAGCATAGTCCAAATAGAACCCAACCTTTCAGTAAGTACAAAATATTTAAAAAAAAAAAAAAAAAACACAGAAGGTCACTTTGCTACTGCTAGACAGATGATACGGCCAGTTGAGAATCTCTGTAGCAGTTCTACACAAAACAAACTCCAGCATCACCTTATCTTTTAAAAGCTAATTACTAGATAAAGAAAAATGAGACTAAGTCAAGGTATGGAACCATTCGCTCGCCATGGAACTTCACTGAAAGCTTCAGTCATACATGAGCACTTGAAATTACCATGAAACTAAAAAAGAGCAAGTTTGCAATTAATTATGATGTTTTTGACAAAGATGTTTGTGAACAAAGTTAGACCTGTTCCAGCTCAAAACTACTCTGAATTTGTTTTTCTTAAATAGAAAAGAGAAATACAAGAGACATTGTTAACTAATGCGTTGTGTTTGTATTCAAAAAAAACAAGAAAAGTCAACATACCTGGTCCTTTTCCCACAGTAGATTGTAACGTCTGTTATTTATCGATTCTCGCACAAAATGAATGCCATAATCTGCTATTCGGAAGTTTAGATCTCCAAACCAAAAGAGAATGCTTAAAAGAAAAAAAAAAGTCATCAGAATTATGTATAATTCATATAGTTACAGAAATTATCAATTAAGTAAAGGCCAAGAAGCCTTCAACCAGATCCAAGAATTTCAGCGGGAACAAAAATAGTTCAAAACACAACTCAAATCTTTACACAAATACATGGAGAAAGAAAACAATTCCCAGCAATCAGAAATATTCTGCATATACACGGGCTTTATCTTCTAACAATCTTCATGTTTCCATGATATCTGCACTTGATGTGCTAATAAATTCAGTGTAATCTGACGTGGGAAGATGTTACCATTTCCAGTCTGCTCTCCTCACATTCAGAAATCACACTGAATGACATAAAAGTGATCTAAGAAAAGTCTGAAGTGCAGAACGCCACAGATTTAGAGAGTACAATAGACAAAAAAACTATATACACAAAGCAGGGTCAGTACAACTCACTCATGATCCAGAGTACTGGGAATATTCTCTTCTTCAAATTGCATTTCCAGAATTTTCTCAAAGTCATCCAACCGCTGCTCCGTGTTCTCCATGTGAGCTGGCAAATGGCAGTTCATGAAACAAACAGTATGGCCATAGAGGGACATGCGAATGGCAACTCCTCCTTTGTTCCCCTGGTAGGAAAGGTCAACAATATTCTCTGAATATCTGAAACTATGATCAATACTTGCAAATACAATTATTAACACCAACTATTCCATTTTTAGTCTTGCTATTTAGGACGTAATCATGTTCATTTATATCCAAATAAGCATCAAGAAAGTAATAATTTATTTCAGCTAATAAACTGTGGAAATACTACAGTCTGTGCAGCACTTGTATACAAGATTGGATTAGGCACGACTCATACGGTTTGTCAGTTAATTCATTACTAAGGAAACCAAACATTCTCTCTCCCATCATAAACCCATTTAGAGGCACACACCAACATAAGCACCACATAAGCAAAGCAACCAAGTCTCAGACAGTTCCTTACCCAGTATCCATAGAGGCCTGTGCGTGTGTATTGGGTATGAATGTCCCGTAGGAAAGGCAGGTGGACGTGCTTCACAAAGATCAGAAGGAGCAATCCCTGCATGCGAACAGAGGAGAGCTGGAACAGAAACAGAGACAGACAGGGTCACTTCCAGGGATTACAAATATAAGGTGACCTCAACACATGAGTATTTGTTGATACAGCTCTTTACAAGTCTTTTTTTTATTTTGTCTGCTTCACCAGCCCATTGTCTCTATCTTTAAGTATCCCATGCACTAAGAGACAAATCCTTGATTTTTCATCCATGATCTTAATAGCACAAATCTACGAATCCTCAAACACCCAAAAAAAAAAAAAAAAAAAAAACCAAAAAAACCCCCCAACTTTCAGCACATATCCATTTGTTCTGAAAACCAATAGAAATGTCTAAAAACCACAAGAGCTACTTGTAGGCATCTGCAGATCTGCAGAAGTTACTAGCTATAAACAGCAGCAACTCCTGCTTCAATGCCCGTAAAAGTTGATTTACTGAATCTGCTGGATTTACTGAATCTGGATTTACTGCTTCCAAAGCAAAAATGATTAAGGAACATGTAAGACATTGTTTCTGCATTAAGATACTGGTATGTTATTCTTTGTGTGTGCAGAATTAACTCAAGATGCACAGTTCAGTATAAAACCTCCTTCTGCAGGCCCTCACTATGTGTGAAAACACAACGGATGCTTCTTTTGCTGGGACTCTTATTAATCCAACCAATATGTAAAGCCAAATAAAGGAAAAACCATTCCCAGACAAAAACAAGACCTTGCTTATGATGAAAAGAATCTAATTCCAACAACCTAATGCTTTAAGAACAGATTTTGTTAGTGAAGAGAGAAAACATCCCATGGAGGACTACACCCAACCTCAACTACACCTCTACACCCAACTTCACTGCAGAACAGAACAGGCAACTGCTCCTCCGTTTAATGGAGCTTATGCAAGGAGTCATGTGGAAAGCTGGCTCTCCTAGGTGCCCATTTTGATTTTGACCTGGCTTGCCAGGAAGGCACGTCAGTGACCTGGTTCTCCTCTTATTAGTGCTAATTAAGACTTGCCAAAAACCATTAGGTGGCAGCATCCATTCATTAGTGCATCCTAAGCTCTGCTTTAATAAATTAGGAATCCAGTCAGCCACGCATTCCACAGGGATTTCATTTTAACACTATACAGTGCCTGAATGTCATCCTGTGGCTATATTTTAAATGCTTATAAGCAAGGACTTGTACTAAGGTGAAGTATGTCTTCTTTCTTTTTTTTTTTTTTTTAACATTCCCAATGGCTGCTTTATTTTATTTATCTTTATATAGAGAGATCAGTCCGAGGGGAAAAAAAAAAGTTTGACTGGAACTGGAGAAGACAATTTTCTTCACTGTGGTGACATTCAGAGATGTAAACTGTTACCTTGACGTAGCCCAATGGTGAGAGCACATTCATGAAAAAAATGCTCCAAGGATCATCAAATGCCAAGTCAGAGAGAAAATTTGTGATCTTTGAGTTCACTTCCTGTAAGCTGAACACATGAAAATTAGTCACGCTAGATCATCACGTTTTGACAGAATTCATATAACCTTATCAGAACACAAATGACAACATTCTGATAGACCTCTGTCCACATTTCTTAATGCTGTTCAGTTTTTCAGTTACAAGCAATTTCACTCATCCACAGGTCTAACAAAGAACATGTCTTGACATGTTCAACCAAATCGGAAAAGGTGACAGTTTCACTAAAAGGTGATGCAAACCCGCAAGGGCAGATTCTACCTAATTAGGTTGCACCAATTTCTTTAAAAGACACTGGCTTTAGACAGCTTCCCATCAAAAATATTTTTTTAATTCTTTGTACTTAGATAAAGAAAGGATATTTTGTGTTTTGTCACATGAAATAACTTCAGAAAGGGGAGAAAAGTCCCTTGCTATAAACCACCTCTGTTCTTTGTCATTAACTCTAGTCTTCATCTTCTACAGCAATAGTATCAAGCCACCTCCTGAGAGATGATTCACACTGTGTAGCCATCCCCAAGCTGATGAAACACAGGTTTTGCAATAAACTTACAGAGCAACTTCTTTACTTTCTTTCACATCTACTTACCCAATAACATACATATCCATAGCTGGACCCAGTGAATTGAGCTGAAGTAAACTAGTGACATCCGGCGGTGGAGAAGCTGTGCCCACATTCCAGGTAACTATGTGCAGCCTACAATGAAGATGGAGAAAAAAAAAAAAAGTCACCAATGCTAGAATTTGAACAGGAATAAGTAGCCTGAAGAGCATCTAACCTCCCTAACCAAATTTCTGTTAACAGAAAACAAGGATTTTTTGTCATGACTTGTCAATCAGAAGCCTGTTTCTTAGTATAAAAAATAAAGCCAGCTATCAAAAACCTGAATTCTTGCCACTTGTCCTTCAGCTTCTTGCCCCAGATAAGGAAAGCTTCATCTAGCGTGCGCGCCACTTTTTCATGAATTTCATCATCTGAGCTGATGTCCTCTACACAAGCCATGAGCTGGGCCACCCGCTGCCGGAGGTGCAAGCGGCTGCTGGAGCTCGTGCTGCTGAGGCTCGCGGAGCGGCTGCGGAAGCCGTGCGGGCTCTCCAGGTCCTGGAGGGAGAGGGCTGCGGCATCCTGGGGGGCATCTTCGCCACCGAACGATGCCATTCGCTCAGGAAAGAGCAACTATATTCCAAAGGACTAAGGCATTAAAATCCCAAGTATAAGAGAGTGATTTGTCTTCAGGGCCGTGAAGATTCAGCGCTGCTTCTAACCAAACAGGACAAATGCAGTGCTGTTCAGCAGTGCTGAAAAACTGCAGCGCTACCAGCACACTCAGGAGCTTGTTACAAAAGCTGCACACACTGAATCATTTTTTCCTAATAGATTTAATGTGATTAATTCTATAAGCTTAAGTTTCAAAAGAATTTATTGTTGATTTGAATCAATCATGTGCTTCCATGGTAGGTTAGCAGAAATATAATCACCAGCTTCCAGGCGTACAAATACTTAGTTCTGTCCAAAACTGAACCAAAACCACTCCACTCAACTGCTTCCAGTGCTCGCCACAGAACTTACCTACTGCTTTACTTAAGACAAATATTTTTGTCTTTTTGATTTGATTTTCTGTATCTCAGCTTCTAAAAACAAATTCACTTTACACTTCTTGTGCAGAGGCCCTATAAACATTGCTACACGGTTAAATAATCCCTCCAATATCCCCATCACTTTTATGGCCCCTGACAATCAAGGGTCTGCTCAAGGTGACACACAAAATACAGAGAAGAACTAGAAAGTGACCTTGCATCCCAAACTAGTTCAGTGATTCACACTTTTTCCCACCAATTACTTTTCCTTATAAGACTACACTGATGTTAAGCAAAAGCTACCGCAAAGTGATCCTAAAATACATTTCTAGAAGAATAAAAGGTTGTTGGCTGCAGATCTCATCCTAGTTTCAAAGAAAGAGATGCATCACTTGGGAATTCTCTCCAACTAGTAATTTCTGAAGATAATGACCCAAGGATACAAAACTCAAATAATACTGAAGTCAGCACTCGTTACTGATGGAAATTATACTCCCTCGATACCTTCGCTACTAATACAAACACAGGAAAAACTACAGTGCTTAAATTTACACCAGAAAAAAAATGAAAAAAGAAAATTGAGGGGCACCCTTAAAGGTTGCAGGTTATGACTGCGCCTGCAGGAAGGAATTAACAGCGAGGGATGTGTGTGGTCCTGCAAAGCACATACAGAGGGAGCATTCAGAGTCCTCCCTTTCTGTCATTACTCAAGAGCAGAGAAGTTTTTTAGGGCTGCGGAGTCATCGTAGCAGAACGTCACGACGGCGAGCACACCTCTAGGTACACAGGAGGTTTGTGGCCCTTTTTTAATCCTCGCTACACAAAGCGGCTCGCGCGCTGCGCACGCAAGGGCCTCCCCAGGTCACACAGAGCTCACAAGGGGGCACCGCAGTTTATCAGCGAGGAGGAAACAATGTAATGATGCAAATAATAATAATAGGGTAAAAATAAAATAAAAACACTTAGAGCTCGAAGGCAGCGACACCTCCGCGCTCTTCCCTCCCGGCCAAGAGAGGGGAGACGAGGCCCTGCGCTGGGCAACAGGTCTCGGACCTCCGCCCCCGGGCGCTGCGACGGCGACGCTTTCACCCCAGAAAAGCGGCTTTTCCTGCCCGCTTCATGTGACCGCGTAACGCGGCCGATTAGGTCTCGCTAATTCCCGGCCGTTACGTCAGGCTGCCGCCGCGGGACCGAGCAGCCGCCGCTCACCTCAGCTCCCCGGCGCCGCCGTAGCGCGCCGCCTCCATGCCGCCGGCCTGGCCGGGGAGCGCGGGGAGCGCAGCGGAATGGAGCGGAGCGGGAGCCCCGGCCTCAGGCTCGGCGCGTCCCGGCCGGGGCAGCCCCGGGCGCCGCCTCGCTCCCCTCAGCGCCTCGCTCCCCTCAGCGGCGGCGCCCGCCGCTCATTG